GAGTCAGCCTCCACCACATCACTTCCTAGTGCATTCCATTTATTAACTACTCTGACACTGAACAAATTCTTTCTAACGTCTCTGTGGCTCATCTGGGTACTAAGTTTCCACCTGTGTCCCCTTGTTCGTGTCCCACCCGTGCTGAAGAGTTTGTCTTTGTCCACCCTGTCAATTCCCCTGAGAATTTTGTAGGTGGTTATCATGTCTCCCCTTACTCTTCTGTTTTCCAGGGATGTGAGGTTCAGCTCCTTTAGCCTTTCCTCGTAGCTCAATCCTCTCAGTTCCGGGACGAGCCTGGTGGCATACCGCTGAATCTTCTCTAACTTTGTCTTGTGTTTAACTACGTATGGACTCCAGGCTGGAGCTGCATACTCCAGGATTGGTCTTACATAAGTGGTATACAGGGTTCTGAAAGATTCCTTACACAAGTTTCAGAAGGCAGTCCTTATGTTGGCCAGTCTAGCATATGCCGCTGATGATATTCTTTTGATGTGGGCCTCTGGGGACAGGTTCGGTGTGATATCAACCCCCAGATCCTTCTCTCTATTTGATTCTTGCAGGATTTCCCCTCCCAGATGATACCTTGTGTTCAGCCTCCTGCTCCCTTCGCCTAATTTCATCACCTTACACTTTCCATAGTTGAACTTCAGCAGCCATTTTCTAGACCATTCCTCCAGTTTATCCAGGTCATCCTGTAGTCTCTGTCTATCTTCATCCGTCTTGATTCTTCTCATAATTTTTGCATCATCAGCAAACATCGAGAGGAATGAGTCTATACCCTCTGGAAGATCGTTCACATATATTAGAAACAGGATGGGTCCAAGTACTGAGCCCTGTGGGACTCCGCTGGTGACATCTCACCACTCTGATGTCTTCCCCCTCACCGTTACTCGGTGTTTCCTGTTGCTTAAGTACTCCCTTATCCACTGGAGCACCTTCCCTTTTACTCCTGCCTGTTGCTCCAACTTTTTTAACAGCCTTTTATGGGGTACTGTGTCAAAGGCTTTTTGGCAATCCAGGAAAATGCAGTCGGCCCACCCTTCTCTTTCCTGCCTAATTTTCGTTGCCTGGTCATAAAATTCTATTAAACCTGTGAGGCACGATTTACCATCTCTGAACCCATGTTGGTGGTGCGTTACAAAGTTATTTCCCTCCAGATGCTCTACGAACCTTTTCCTCACGATCTTCTCCAGCACCTTGCATGGTATACAAGTTAAGGAAACTGGCCTGTAATTCAGTGCCTCTTGCCTGTCACCCTTTTTGTATATTGGGACCACGTTAGCTGTCTTCCAACTTTCTGGTAAGTCTCCTGTTTCCAGTGACCTGTTATACACCATAGAGAGTGGCACACTTTGTGCTTCTGCACCTTCCTTTAGTATCCATGGTGAGATTCTATCAGGCCCAACAGCCTTTGTCACATCTAGCTCCAGCAGACACCTTTTGACCTCATCACTGGTGAGGTCAAATTCCGTTTCTCCATGTAGGTAATTCCTGGTTGAACCATGGGTTTTTCTGGTTTTTCTCCTTTTGGACGGGGATAGCGGCTTTCAGAAGTATACTTTGGAGAGCAGCTGTATCCCTCAAGATGTTCACTTTGACCTTTCCCTCAGAATCTCCACCGTTGACAGAGACAAATCCAGGGTACACGTGTCTCTGGAATAAGGAAAGATTAGAAGCTGGAACATGAGTATGCATAACAGGCTTATGAGTCTTGGGAGGTTGAGGTTTAGGCTTACGTGAATCGTTGCTAGTTTTACAATGAGGGTTGGTACATTTTTCGATCGTGCGTCCATATACTTGACAATACCGACAGTAGAGTGCGTAGTTAACATTGACAGGACTTACTGAAGCAGAGCTGGACCAAGATGGTTTACTGGAATAAGAATCATTGAATTTGTGAATTAAACTAGAGGTATCAGCCAACTGGGCACATCTACTGAGGTTGGTCTCTCCTTTATCTGAAAGGTCAAGACGTACGGGGTTTGACACACGGACAGGAATTCTTCCATGAGGATGAGGTTGATTAGCTAAGAAAAAATGGTGAACTGGGCTGACTTCAGCCACTTTATAAAGTATCTGATTTTATTCTGAGGAAACTACATTGGTGGTGGCACTGGCTTTATGATAATCTCTGAAACGTCTTTAAGTTTCTGTCGACAAGAGAGAGGCATCTAGAACTGCTTGCTTCAGTAACTGGTAATCTCGATGGCAAGAGTACTGAGGGTCAAAGCAGTTCTACGTGTAAGATGGGATCGAATGAGTATTGACATTGGTTCTGAGGCCAGCTGAGTTGAGTAGCTAAAACCTCAAATGAGGTAAAAAATTAATCCACCTCTGTCTCTACAAATGGCGTCATCATTTTAATACACTGAGTCGCATTAAAACGTACCGGGAGGTTGGCTTCGGCTTCCTGGCGCTGAGTGGTGTTGGTGGTTTCAAGTTCAAGTTCCTGTTCTCGAAACTTGAGAGCGACAGCAGCTTTCTTTCGTTCAGAACGGAGAGAAATGGTGGTTTCTTGTTCTTGTGGCTGAAGTCTCTCTCGTTCGCGATGCCGTTGCGGATCAGCTTCTTTCTGTCGTAAACGTTCTAATTCCGCTCATTGTTCCATGATTTCATGTTGTTGCCTCTCGCGTTCACGTTGGAGAGCAACTTCTTCTTGCTGACGTTGGCGTTCCAGGTCTACTCGTTGTTCTTGGAACCAGTATTGTTCATTCTCTCGTTCTCGTTGGAGGGCAGCTGCTTCCTTCTGTCGTTGACGTTGCAGGTCAGCTTCTTCTTGCCGACAATGACGTTGCAGGTCAGCTTCTTCTTGCCGACAATGACGTTGCAGGTCAGCTTCTTCTTGCCGACAATGACGTTGCAGGTCAGCTTCTTCTTGCCGACAATGACGTTGCAGGTCAGCTTCTTCTTGCCGACAATGACGTTGCAGGTCAGCTTCTTCTTGCCGACAATGACGTTGCATGCCAGCTTCCTGTAATCTTATCACTTGTTTTCGTTAATTAGCCTCTGCTTCCATGCGGGCTAATTCTGTCTTCAGCTTCATGATGCTGAGTGCAGTCTAATCGGCCATCTGATGTTGTTCCTGCAGCTCTGGAGTGATAAGATCGTTATCAACTAAATAATCTAATATTATATTATGGAGTTCAGATTAGTCGGCTGCATTAGGATAAGGGGGTGGAGGTGGGGGGGGGGAGGAATTGAGAGGTGATACTCGGTGATAAGTGTCAGTAATTCGGGTTTGGTGGCGCGAATGAGGTTACCCACTTCATGCACCGGGCTGGAAAGGAAGGCAGCTAAGCTAAACATGATTTAAAGTATTAAAGTACAGAGACAAGTAAAAAAGTGGAAGAATAATGCGACTGTCCTCCTGTAAGTAAACCAGTACGTGAGGTTTATTCGATTCACACAAAGATTACGTGATAACAGACACGGGAATGGTTGTTGTAGGACTGGCAACTCTTAACTATCCTGTAGAGTAATAATGGAATTACAAGATAAGTTATTGAAGCATAAGGTTAATTGATTAATATAACTAAGTCATAGACTGTGTCAGCACTTTGAGAAACAACAAAGAATGTTTCGAGGTAGTACAAGATAAAGAATGAGTAGGGATGTCTATACCCGGTACCCTATTAATGACGAGGATATGGGCAAGCGCTCTCCTACTAAAAACTCGGTAATTAACTGCAGAGTTACAATTCCATGTGCCCAGGAAAAAGAATGGTAAACGCCCTTCTTGGGCAATTAATCACAATATTTGAACCAAGGCTTAGGGGGTGCGGAGAGTGTCAACATGTGACGAGAACTGCTGTAAGAGTCCCAAACGTATAGTTTAGTCCTGAATGTGAAAGGAACGAAAGCCCAATACGTCCTCCTAAATTCATACTGCAAAGTTGAACAAAATAGTTTGGAGACAAAGCAAAGTACCAGAGTACCCGAGGGGGTGATCTGTCTGAGTGAGATACTTCTGTAGGGACAAGATTGTATAGGGTAAATACAATATAGCAAAGGTTCATAAGACTAACCATGACGAGTATAAATTTGTAATCTAAAGTCAATCTAACAAACAGGTCACAAATTGTTTCACCTGAAATGTGAATAGACTTGTTCAAAAATGAAAAGTATTTAAAAAAAATAGTTCTGAAAGGCAAACATGTGTTAAAGCCAAATAAACAACTGAACACAACTTTAAGCAAAGAAATTAATAGCATTACTGGGGACAATCTCCCGGAGAGGATTCCGGGAGCATTTATTTAGGCATACCAGACCTAATGCACATTAAACAAACAAAAAGATAAAACAAATTAAAATAAAACTGCTTACGTCCTTTGCCGTGTGAACAGTTGCAGAGAAAACTAGACGAATTAACAATTAAACTCTTTTTCTTAATAATAATAATAAACACAAAGAATAATACCAAAAACCTGAAAACTTGGCTTTACACACAACACTCTACACACAAGAGGGTGACTATAAAATATGTATAAATATGTAGTGCTTCCTCCGTCACTCGTTGTAGCAAACTCCATCACGTGAGAGAAGATATGTGTGACCCAAGAGAGAGCACCAGCAGTAGTCTGAGTGCTGGGTCACTGGACGTCACTTATGTACACCATTGGGTGATGTTGACCAGACCATACACTAGAAGTTGAAGGGACGACGACGTTTCGGTCCGTCCTGGACCATTCTCAAGTCGATTGTGAGAATGGTCCAGGATCGACTTGAGAATGGTCCAGGACGGACCGAAACGTCGTCGTCCCTTCAACTTCTAGTGTATGGTCTGGTCAACATACTTCAGCCACGTTATTGTGACTCATCACCACCATTGGGTGATGTTATGTTGGCGTGGAACAGTTGAATGGTCAGTCAGCAGATTAATGGGTAGATTGCAGGTATTGAGCAAACAGCCAGCGAACACCTGGTATGTGGATCTCGAGGCAAAGCCGGAGAAGGCCGTAGAGAAACATTCTAGACGTCTAGCTAGGGGTTTTGCGGTAGGAATGACGTTAAGGAGCATGTTGATGGTGAAGGCAGGAGGAGGAGGAGGTAGATTCCACTGTTATGCAGGGGAATAACGCAACAATGGTGACCAACAGGCGGAGTGGGTGACGGAGGCGGCGGGAGTGGGCGTGATGGTGGTGACCTCCCACGCCCAGAACGACCTCACCTCACTCACCAAGGCTCTCTCCCACGCTCGTGAGGTAAGGCCAGCACCCAGTCAACACTCTCCCAAGCTCTCTCCCACACAAGTGTGGTAAGGCCAGGACACTCTCCCACACTCTCTCACACAAGTGAGGTAAGGCCAGGACACCCTCACCACACTCTCCCACACACGTGAGGTAAGGCCAGGACACCCTCACCACACTCTCCCATACACGTGAGGTAAGTCCAGGACACTCTCCCACACACGTGAGGTAAGGCCAGGACACCCTCGTGAGGTAACCACACTCTCCCACACACGTGAGGTAAGTCCAGGACACTCTCCCACACACGTGAGGTAAGGCCAGGACACCCTGACCACACCCTCACCACACACGTGAGGTAAGGCCAGGACACCCTCACCACACTCGTGAGGTAAGGCCAGGACACCCTCACCACACTCTCCCACACACGTGAGGTAAGGCCAGGACACCCTCACCACACTCTCCCACACACGTGAGGTAAGTCCAGGACACTCTCCCACACACGTGAGGTAAGGCCAGGACACCCTGACCACACCCTCACCACACACGTGAGGTAAGGCCAGGACACCCTCACCACACTCGTGAGGTAAGGCCAGGACACCCTCACCACACTCTCCCACACACGTGAGGTAAGGCCAGGACACCCTCACCACACTCGACACACGTGAGGTAAGGCCAGGACACCCTCACCACACTCGTGAGGTAAGGCCAGGACACCCTCACCACACTCTCACCACACACGTGAGGTAAGGCCAGGACACTCTCCCACACACGTGAGGTAAGGCCAGGACACTCACCACACCCTCACCACACACGTGAGGTAAGGCCAGGACACCCTCACCACACTCTCCCACACACGTGAGGTAAGGCCAGGACACCCTCACCACACTCTCCCACACACGTGAGGTAAGGCCAGGACACCCTCACCACACTCTCACCACACACGTGAGGTAAGGCCAGGACACCCTCACCACACTCTCCCACACACGTGAGGTAAGGCCAGGACACCCTCACCACACTCTCCCACACACGTGAGGTAAGGCCAGGACACCCTCACCACACTCTCCCACACACGTGAGGTAAGGCCAGGACACCCTCACCACACTCTCCCACACACGTGAGGTAAGGCCAGGACACCCTCACCACACTCTCCCACACACGTGAGGTAAGACCAGGACACCCTCACCACACTCTCCCACACACGTGAGGTAAGGCCAGGACACCCTCACCACACTCTCCCACACACGTGAGGTAAGGCCAGGACACCCTCACCACACTCTCCCACACACGTGAGGTAAGGCCAGGACACCCTCACCACACTCTCCCACACACGTGAGGTAAGGCCAGGACACCCTCACCACACTCTCCCACACACGTGAGGTAAGGCCAGGACACTCTCACCACACTCTCCCACACACGTGAGGTAAGGCCAGGACACCCTCACCACACTCTCCCACACACGTGAGGTAAGGCCAGGACACCCTCACCACACTCTCCCACACTCGTGACGTAAGGCCAGGACACCCTCACCACACTCTCCCACACACGTGATGTGTTTACATTCTAATTTACATTCTTATATAAGCATACATTTTTATATAATTTACATTCTTATGTAAGCACACAATCGACTTGAGAATGGTCCAGGACGGACCGAAAAGTCGTCGTCCCTTCACCTTCTAGTGTGTGTGGTCTGGTCAATTTGCATTCTAGTCTTAACAAAAAATGCAATGAGGACAAGCATAATATTTCAGATGACGGTCACAGTAAACTCAGTGCTTGGTAGTTTACCAGGAAGTTCTATTCCAACTTCTCTATCATATCAAATCAGGGTAATTCTAAGACTGCAACAGCGATTATGTATTACTGTTGATGAATTGTACACTATATTCCACAGGTGGTTAACATACATCTAGCAACTCAGCATTCTAATACCTGTATTCATATGCTAGTCATCAATATCTGTAATCATTCATTGAGCAGTGTTAAGTTCGAAGCTAAATTGCTGCCCAAATGTCGTACCGCAATTTAAGTCGAATCGTACGTCTGGCCGCATAGTAGGTCAGCTGTCCTAGTACCTGTGCTCATAGTAGGTCAGCTGTCCTAGTACCTGCGCTCATAGGTTAATCAGCTGTCCTAGTACCTGTGCTCATAGGTTAATCAGCTGTCCTAGTACCTGCGCTCATAGGTTAATCAGCTGTCCTAGTACCTGCGCTCATAGGTTAATCAGCTGTCCTAGTACCTGCGCTCATAGGTTAATCAGCTGTCCTAGTACCTGCGCTCATAGGTTAGTCAGCTGTCCTAGTACCTGCGCTCATAGGTTAATCAGCTGTCCTAGTACCTGCGCTCATAGGTTAATCAGCTGTCCTAGTACCTGCGCTCATAGGTTAGTCAGCTGTCCTAGTACCTGCGCTCATAGGTAAATCAGCTGTCCTAGTACCTGTGCTCATAGGTTAGTCAGCTGTCCTAGTACCTGTGCTCATAGTAGGTCAGCTGTCCTAGTACCTGTGCTCATAGTAGGTCAGCTGTCCTAGTACCTGTGCTCATAGTAGGTCAGCTGTCCTAGTACCTGTGCTCATAGTAGGTCAGCTGTCCTAGTACCTGTGCTCATAGTAGGTCAGCTGTCCTAGTACCTGCGCTCATAGGTTAATCAGCTGTCCTAGTACCTGCGCTCATAGGTTAGTCAGCTGTCCTAGTACCTGTGCTCATAGTAGGTCAGCTGTCCTAGTACCTGTGCTCATAGGTTAGTCAGCTGTCCTAGTACCTGTGCTCATAGTAGGTCAGCTGTCCTAGTACCTGTGCTCATAGTAGGTCAGCTGTCCTCACATCCATCAACTAGTTGCCCAAACGTAGCGCCGCAATTCATCCATCTAGCAACACAGTTGGATCTTAGCCAGTATACTCATGGGAATAATCATTTCTGGACCACAAAAACCCTATTCTTGCTACGCAAATCAGCTAACTTGTTTCCTAAACTAACAGTCACAAATACATACATACATACATACTCTATCTGTCATCTTCAATCCGGTGCTCCCAGAAATCACACGGGACAAGCCCATGACATCACCCTAACAAAAGAAATGTTGAATAAAAACACTTGTATAATAGACAAAACCAAAGATTATAAGAAGAAGATTATAAATTCTTGAAGCAATCCCCCCCAAAATTGAACCTACAATAAATACTCAAATTACGGATCTATTCACTCTTCCCTCGCTGAGAGTAGGAACAATACCACAACGTCAAGATGCCCACATAGAAGACACTGATCGACAAACAGCGTCCACTACACTTGATTAATCTGTGTGTGTATCCTATTTAACCTTCTGATCCTTAGCTTCTTTTCTCCTTTATGGCTTACTCTTTACCCTTATGTTTACCCAATGTATTCCCAGAGTTTACACCTGACCCCATTGTTCGATCCATTTGTATTCACCTGACTCTCTATTAGTATAAATATGATGTCCTGTACTGTAATATAACTTGAGAAGGAACCATGTAGGTTCGAAACGTTGTGCAATTTTATAATAAGTGTAATACATTCTACAATTATTCACTTCTTTTTCTTCACCTTGAATACGAACATGACTTTTGGTGAACTCCTCTTATACAGAACCCTGATGCAAGAGTACTAGTAAGAGGGATAGACGCCCTAAACCAGAAATTAGTTAATACGGAATATGCTGTCATATTCAATGAGACATGTATAGAGAAAACCTGCTGCCTGTATACACCAATATATATATATATATATATATATATATATATATATATATATATATATATATATATATATATATATATATATATATATATATATATATATATATATATATATATATATATATATATATATATATATATATATGTATATATATATATATTTTGGTAGCAGTCTTTCTTGTAAACATATATTATTAAATATGACCGAAAAAGTATGATTAATAATTCTTAACACAAATTTTCTCAATATTTCTTATGTTTCTTTTCACTGTCGATGGTAATTGAAAAATCAATTCTCCAAAATTCATTTTTATTTCTAGTCTGACGCGACACTTGAACGCGTTTCGTAATAACTTATTACATTTTCAAAGACTTTAGTTTATACACACACAACTATAACCTGCAAACACTAAACAGAGTTCTACTATGCTATAATTTAAACAGCTTTCATCTTATATGCCCGCATTTGGGTTAGGTGATATGTTACAACAGTTTTGGATAAGGTGATTAAAACTTTCAACACAAGACAGAGCAAACTTTCAACACAAGACAGATCACGAAACAATGGGTATAAATTGGGTAAATTAAAGGGAAGAATGGAAGTTGTTGCGTTCTGCTACACAAAGCATTCTACGTTGTGTAGCAGAACGCTTTAAAAGAGACCAATGTCGTCTATGCCTTCAAATGCCCACTTGGGGACGGTAAGCCTCAAAGAATTCAGTATATAGGCAAGACTACATCTCTTTCCAGGCGATTAACGATGCATAAGCAACAGGACTCCATTAAGGAACATATAATCTCTTCCCATAACCAGACTGTCACCAGAGAAGTCTTAACAAAAAACACGGATATCATCGATAGATACAGCGATAGCAGGCGGCTAGATATCTGCGAGGCACTACACATTAAGAAGTCGACACCAGCAATCAACAGCCAATTAATGCACAACTATATTCTACCCACTTGAAGACTCCGCACCAATATAGAAGCATCAAGAAATATGGGCCAATAGGCCCTCTGCAGTTACTTCCATTCTTCCCTTTAACTTACTCAAAATATTATACCCATTGTTTCGTGTTCTGTCTTGTGTTGAAAGTTTGTTTTCACCTCATCCAAAACTGTTGTAACATATCACCTCACCCAAATGCAGGTATAAAATCGAAGAAGTTTGAACTCTGTTCAGTTATAGTTGTGTGTGTGTAAACTAAAGTCTTTGAAAATGTAAAAAGTTTTACGAAACGCACTCAAGTGTCGCGTCAGACTAGAAATAAAAATGAATTTTGGGGAATTGA